CCACTCTATTAAATATTTCACAAACGTTAATCTGGAATATTAATTGTTTTTACTGCAGCACAAGCAGCACAGGGAAACCATTAGAATCAGTTTCCTGTGAGTCAAACCAATTATTGGCAAAGGGACATTTTAATTACAGAGCTTTTAGGAGGCTACTTGGATAAATACAGTGTGGATGCTGCAGCTATAATTCTCATTCTGTAGATTCATCCACCTGCATCATCTGTCATGTGAAAATATCTTCTAAAAGTAGGAGAATCAGGAAACCATTAGGCGGGTGGCAGGTAGTTGTGATTGGAACAGATAGCAGCTACACTGGAGATTTTTCTTGTCACATATACGTTTATTTTAATCTCTCAGTGTTGCAGGAGTTTCACAGGTGAGCTGACATGTTGACTTACGCAGAAGATTTGTGGTATAAAAGCTCAAAACAAAAGGCAAATGTTTGGTGAAGGAACACTTAATTCGGATTTTCTTTTCTTTTATCTTGAAAATAGAAAATGGATCAGGCTCCAAACACATCAGTATGGATAGAGTTCATAACCTTCTCACTTCCAGATTTATATTGGGCTATCATCACCACTATCATTGCACCCACATCTTTCCTGACTTATCCAATTAAACTATACGGCGCGAATATGGGAAAACTGCTTTTAGAAAATTAACCTTTACATTGACATTGACATTACACTCTGAGAGTCTCATCTCGTGTATTACTTTGAGCTTAGAAATAGTCTTTCATGGTCTTGATTTGCATCCACTGAACAAAGAGGTCAAATAATATCTATTACACAATAAGAAATGCAATATGTTTCACATATGTCATCAATATGTTTTCACTAACCGAATCAAATCACTGCTTGTAATGTGAAAGGGTTGCTAGTCCTGCCGGTCCGGTGTGCTGCTTTGTTTAATCACAAGTCCCACAGACAGTTTATATAAATAGTGTGGGCAGCAGCTTGTGTCTCACAAAATCATAAAGGCCAGTAGGTTGCTACCTACATACAGAAATACTGTAACATGTTACAAAAGTGACATTTATAATAAACCAAGAGAAAAAAGATTTTGTTATTATTTGGTGGACCAATCCAAGGACAAGTAGATCTTAGTCATTCAGAAAGGTCTCCTCCTCTCCAAACAGTAATTACAACTGATAAAGACACTGAATAAAGAAGTTTCACATTAAAAATGTGTGTTTCTCTGACGCAGAGGGGTAAGCTGAACTGCTGCTAGATCCAGACGTCTGATGACTAAAAATATTTCTCCATTTAAAATATAAAGTTAAAAACGTCCAAGATATAAAAGTGTAAATAAAAAATGGCTTTAAAAAGCAATTTAGGACTTGTTGAAGCATGCACAAAGGGGATATAACACCACTGACTGGCGACCAGTGAAACACACTGTGAATAAAATGAAACTCTCTGAGTTTGAAACTGGACCACTTCTACAACAAACCTACTTCAATGAATATAATATTTTACATACTTCAATTTAGCATAAATCTTTAATTCCTAAAACCACACTTTCAAAATCTTAAAATTGCAAAAGAGAAATTGGACACCTCAGTACACTGTTTTATAGCTTTAACCAAAGTCCTAACACCTTTATTCCTTATTAATGAATCCAGGATTAGAGCCACAAGGGAAATGGAAATAGTGTCTGAGGCTCTTGTTATGTAATATGAGAGGTTTAACCTTTGCGGGTATTCATAGACATGATTAGAGAGAAGAGAAAATCTCAAATGAAGAACAATTACTTGGCTGCTGAATATCAAAGAGATGCCCCACAACCACAGCAGATTGAGCATTTAGAATCGGATTAGGATTGACCGCATTTTCACAAGAATGGCTATTTTTAAATCTACATAATTAGTGTTGAAACGTTTGCAGTAGTCTACTCACTCAAAAGAATAGTTTATTATTTGGGGAAATATTTTGGAGATGTCAAAATTGGCACACAGGAACACTATAACAATCTTTAAGGAATAGTTTGACATTTTGGAAAATATATGTATTCACTTTCATACTAAGAGCTGGATCAGAAGATCGATACCACTTGATCTGTTTGATCATTATGAAAGCGGCGCTAGCAGCTGGTTAACTTAGCTTAAACTGGGCTATGACTACAGGAGTAGTTTTAAGATCTGTCAACAGTAGTATGCTATCTTACGTTAGCCTCAAGAGGCTAAAATGTTTACTGCTGCTTTGAAACAGCTCGTCTGATGTTAAAATAGCATATACCAGGCCAAGTAATGTAAGATTTGATATAGCATTTTATGCTGAACAATTTGGGGAAAACAGATTTGTTTGCAGCAAAAAAAAATTTAAAGGACCAGTGTGTAGGATTCAGTGGCATCGAGCAGTGAAGTTGCCGATTGCAACCGTGAATACAGCTCAGCCTTCCAAGCGTGTGTAGGGGAAACTATGATAGCCGCCGCAAAAGGACCTATCTAGAACCAATGTTAGGTTTGTCCAGTCTGGGCTACAGTATAAACATGTCAGTTCAACATGGCAGCCTCCATGGAAGAGGACCCGCTGTGTAGATATAAACGGCTCATTCTAAGGTAACATAAAACGCAACTATTCATATTTTTAAGTTATTATTCACTAATGAAAACATGCCTCCTAAATGTTAAACACTGGAGCTTTAACCTTAGCTAGCCTTGGCTGCAGTCAGGAGTTACTTGGGGGGAAGCAATAGTCTGTTTTAGGCCATGGTGTTAGTATTTTTCAATGGTATTGTATTATATAAGTTATTTTGTCATTTCAGTCCAATGCAGCGACTACAATCTACATGCTTTACATATTGAACAAGTTTTACTTTTTGTCCACCGCCTTAGTTGCTTCAGTACCACTCTCTCTCTCTCTCTCTCTCTCTCCCTCTCTCTCGCTCTCACTCTCTGGTTTCTCAAGGTTAGACAAAGGTGACAAAAAACCTGCTTCCACCTCCACAAACACTCTACGGTCAGCTTCGGGTGTGAATACAAGACAAACAAGAAGCCCTTATTATACAAGAAGCATTAATTAATATGCTGTAATATTTTATTTTCTTTTTTATATTTGATCTGAAAATAAGTAACGTCACATAAATTTAAATTGACCCTACTGTCATTTACTTTTTGGGAATTATTATGATAGCCGTGGGTGAAGGCATTGTGTTTCTTGTGAATGTGATATCTCAATTTCTTCAAATTTGACACAAACAACCTCTGAGACTAAGGGATGAACTGATGTGACAGGACACATGGTAGCTCACCTGGTAGAGTTTATGTAAGCTGACTCCTTATCGCATCTCCCCAGTGTCGATTCCAACCTGCGGCCTTTTGCTGCATGTCATCCCCCCTCCCTCTCCCCTCTTTCCTGTTTATCTTAACCTGTCATATCAAAATAAAGGCATAAAATCTTAAATAACAAAAAATGAAAAAGTTACTGTGACCGCACAAAACACATTTTTGGCTGTAAAAAGAATTGATAACCATATTTTACAGTTGTACAATAAATTGATGACACTCTTGACTCAAAAGTCATTGTGACCTCAAAGTAACAAGCCTTTTTTTTGGGCCATTATTCAACACAATGACTCAGTAAGAAGGGGAGATTGTGACAACTATTTCACAGTTGGTCGGACACAGAATCACAAATGGTGACATATTTGACTTGAAGGTCAAATGTTACTGTGACCTCAAAATAGCCATAATGTAAGAATGAAATGGGTGACACAGTGACTAAATAATAACTAGCACAGCACGGGTTTTTAATCTTTCCATCTAATCTATTCTGCCTTTCACTTCCTCATTCATCTAAAAATGTCAGGAGAAAGCAAACATTTTGTACAGCTATAAATCTTTACATAGTAATCAAGTATAAAACCCTATGTATCCCTATAAATATAGGCACAGATAGTCCTTGAATGCCTGGCACATCTTACTGTGTATATCATTTGCCTGCAATGACTCTGATAGATTCCCACTGGTTGTAATTTAATCATTTTCTAATTTACCCTCCTCTTTTCACCTCTCCTCTCCACCTCTTTGTATTCCCCAGTCCCCATCTACTCTTCATTCCATTTGTCACCCTGCTTTTGGATTAATTCCCCTCATATTAATCTCCATTCACCCCCTTTTCACCTGTGCCACCTACTGAACCAGGGAAACGCCGATGAAATAGTTGGCTAACCGACCCTCAGCCAAGATAAAGTGGGATCAATAGGAAATAAATTAAAAGTAATGGATGTCTGAATCCACAGTGGAGGGAACATAAGTCAGCTCATGAAAGCTTTTAGCGTTTCACAACAACATATTTGACCTTCACTACATCTGAATAGCCTTTAGATATGTGTTCCTCCACATTAGAGAACTGAGTAAAGCACATTTGGTGTATTATAATTCATTCAAGAACAGTTAAAATTCACAGTTTACATTACATTACCTTTATATACGGTTCTTTCTATTAAATGATTTTTTTTTTCACACGGTATCTAATCAGTACCAAGGACAGCGCCAGATTGCGCCAGAGCGCTGCGTCAGGACGCCTCTTCAGGGTTGGAGAGACGCAGAGAGAAAATCTCAGAGCAGCTCGGCAACCCTGATGAGAAGCTCTGCCACCTCTCAGGAACACACATCACAATTTAAACGTCTTTATAGTGAAACACAGAAAACCTAGATCAGATTTTTTTCAATGTATTATTTAAGTAACACAGAGGCTGGCGCAAGAACCTAAAATCTAAAGGAATATTTTCTCCAAAAAGTGAAGCTTTTTGGATTCACAGGGATGATTTCATCAAAAATCCTCTGGGATTAAAGTTAAAATGTCTGGAGAATTCACCGACTCTAACTACGAAGGCTCAGCAGGGATAATCTTTGCTGCAACCTTCAACTTCAGCTGCATTTTCAACACCACCAACCGCTCCGACGGCGACTACTTCCACCTGTCAGACTTGGACAAGACTGATTTTGTGGGAGATGGCGCCGCTGTTGTGAGGATTATCATCTCCGTCATTTACTCGCTGGTTTGCGCGCTGGGTCTGGTTGGGAACTTACTCGTCCTGTACCTGATGAAGTCCAAACAAGTGTGGAGAAAATCCTCCATCAACCTTTTCGTAACTAGTTTGGCTGTGACTGACTTCCAATTCGTCCTGACTTTGCCGTTCTGGGCAGTTGAGAACGCGCTGGACTTCACGTGGCTTTTCGGCAAAGCGATGTGCAAGATCGTTTCTTATGTGACAGCCATGAACATGTACGCCAGCGTGTTTTTCCTGACCGCCATGAGCGTGGCGAGGTACTGGTCGCTCGCCTCTGCGCTGAAGGGCAGGCGGCGGCGGGCGCACTGCTGCTCCGCGCGGTGCATCAGCGTTTTCATCTGGTTTGCCGCTGTCTCCGCCGCTCTGCCGCATGCTGTTTTCTCCACAACCGTCACAGTGTCCAATGAGGACTTGTGTCTCGTCAAGTTCCCGGAAACCAACGGAACCGCGCAGTTGTGGCTGGGTCTCTATCAATCTCAGAAAGTGCTGCTGGGTTTTGTGGTGCCGCTGGGCATCATCTCAGCCTGCTACCTGCTCCTTTTGCGCTTCATCACCTCCAAAAACATCAACACATCGAGCGCCAAGCGACGCGCCAAAGTCACCAAGTCTGTCACTATCGTGGTCTTATCCTTTTTCCTCTGCTGGCTGCCCAACCAGGCGCTCACAGCCTGGGGCATCCTCATCAAACTCAACGTGGTTCCTTTCAGTTATGAGTACTACACCATGCAGGTGTACGTTTTCCCCGTGTCCGTGTGCCTGGCGCACTCCAACAGCTGCCTGAACCCCATCCTGTACTGCCTGATGAGGCGGGAGTTCAGGAAAGCGCTGAAAAAACTCTTCTGGCGGATGACTTCGCCGACCATAAGGCCGATCACAGCCACCACAAAGCAAGAGATGAACGAGCAAGGGCACGTACTGGCCCCTGTCAGCGCGCCCGAGGAGCCCGGGGTGGTGTTTTACCCTCCGGGGGCTGTTATGTACAATGACTTGCGAGATCTGCCGCAAAACAGCACCTGATCTAAAGTCCCACAGGGACAGTTTTTAGTTGTTGTTTTCTTTAATCCTCTTTGTTATTTATATGCATTTATGTTAATTACCCAATTTCTTGCCTGCCAGACGTAAGGAAAGCTGTAATCTGAGTCCAAGTTAGTTCTGCAGGTGAGCGCATAAATAGACATGTAATCTGTGATTTTTGTACTCACTGCTTTTTATAATAAAAGATGACAAGGACATTTCTCTTGTGCACAAAGAAAGAACACAACACGCAGTATTTTGAATGTGTCTGTCCAAAAGTGTAAAATGTGTAAGTAAAGTGCATCTGCAATATGTGAGACACTAGCTGGTCCTTCTCTTTGTTCAGGAGGAGAAAACACTCAGGAGCTCAGTGAGGATCAAGGATATCCAAACACTAACCATAGGTTGGAGTAATTATTCCGCCACAGCAATCTCTGGCTTCATGGTTCATTAAAATGATTCCAGTGAGCTCCACACAGTGAGGTACAGATTTGAAATGAAGGGGGAAAGAGGGCTGGTATCGGGTTGGTACTCGGTATTGATAACCTGATCAGAATCTGTATCGGGAGAGAAAAGGCTGGATCGATGCGCATCATATCAGATCGTAAACCTATATGGACATATAGTCTTTAAATAGTCATACATTATTTTATTCATTCATAATTAATGCAGAAACACATTCAAATTAATTAAGAGTTATTGGAGGGAATAAATTAATTCGTTTTTTTTTTTAAATCCAATTTAAACAGCCGTTTTTATTTACTATAATAACCTAATGGAAATGTCACAACAACTTGCTATTTAAACTACCTTAATCTCATTGAAGCAGAAGAAAAAAGTGCATACCGCTAAATGTCAAGATGAGTGTAGTCTCGCATAGCCAGACCAATCTGCACACACGTTTTTGGCAGCGATGAAGAGAGAACTGAGTGCAGCTTCAGGTACGCAGTGAGTGCATTTAGATTTAATTTAATTCTTTTTTTTTAAAATTCATAGTCATATCAACAACCAGGCACAAAGGGAATTGGAAAAATCCCTTCATTACTAGTGTCTCCATGAATCAACCCATCAGTAATATCTTTAAAAGTACATATAAGGCCTCAATTAATGTGGATTTAAAGAAGAAATTAAGAGCGTTTAACAGATAAAATCGTGTGTGGTCTATTTCTACATTATCTTCAGGGGATGTTTTCATGTGCTGGAATTCAGATGGGTCATCTCACTTATGTTTCATTTATTCAGGACAGTTTGTAAATAAGTCGTCAGTGATCATCTTCAGCACCAAGTACTTTCTTCACTATACCACCCTTAAAATAAAGTGTATCAGATATGGATGATGCCTGTTTGACCTCAGTTATATGTGAACATACCAATGCACTAATGTTACAGAGATGTTTTGAATGGTTACTCTTCAGTGATAGCAGTACATTTAAGGACATTAAAACAAGTACTATACTTCAGTTTGGGGTACTTTTAATTAAAAGCCAACTCTTTGCAGTTTCAGATTATTTATACAAAATATAAATCAACTAATATAGTTTTAATTATAGATTAAGCTCACCCAGCAGAATAAAAAGTAGTTCAAATGAGCCCTACCTTTATCAGCGGCAACATTAAAGTGATTGAGTGAACACAAATGCATCAATAATTACAAGCTTGTAATATAAACCTTTGGTACTTTAAGAATATTTTGATGCTCATACTTAAGTATTTTTACCAGTGGTGTAGTGTAGGTTGTATGCAGGTATATAGAGTAAACCCACTTATATTTCAGTCAGCATTGGGTATACTCACTTCTAAATCCTGTTGCACATTATTCAGTAGTGTTCTGCAAACTTTATTTCTTTTCCTGGGATAGCAAAAACATAGTTTGTCTGATTTTCATGAGTGGATGGAATAAGGAATATTTCACTCAAAATGCACAATTATGTAGTTGTCTCACCCGCCTGTGGGTCAGTATTGATTAAAAAATCTGCACCTCTTTTGTGGCTATCATAGTAATTTCATAATGATCCTTTCTCCCTGAAATCAAGTAGCAGAAGTTAAGCCATAAAGTGCAAATACTCCTGACTCCCCAGTCTTGATTGAGCTAAATGTGTGTCTAACATATTGCTGTTTATAACAGATGGTGTTTATCCTTTGCTGGACAAGCCAATTTTGGGAATTAAGTAGTATACCTACTTCTCTGGGCACCACTACATCACTGGCTTTATTCTGCAGTATTGCTGCTTTTATTTAAGTAAAATCTGATCTGAATGCTACTTATACAAAGTTTAACTCCCAGATTTAATAGAAAGCGCAGGATTAAATTAAGCACCTGATTGAATATTGCCTCATTTTAAAAAAGGATCTAATGAAACTCATTTGGTTGAAATCCCATCAAAACTTTCTCCTATTGCTGCCTCCAAGCCTTCTGTGCGTGTGTGTGTGTGTGTATGTGTGTGTGTGTGTGTGTCACAAAACAGTGACAGAGAACAGAAAGCATAGATGCATATCTGACTGAGATGGGACTCGCAGGAGTCCTGCAAACCAACAATAACAATCAACAGATAAATATACAGCATTGAATGTTTTAATTAATCAAGCTTATTATTATGCTAATTTGATGAGAAATAAATGCCTTAATTGCCCCATGACCAAGGTATTAAATTGTTACATCAAAGCAATCTGTCATGTGGATGTTGCCCACAGTGCAACACACACATCTGTTCGTCACACACACCCACAGAGCATTTCATCTCAAAAATCCTTTTTGGGGCAAAGAAAAAATGACTTGAGTCAAAATTATGATTAGAAATTCAAATGTAACAGTGAGAATCCCTCAAGAGACAAGTTAATATCTCTATTGATCTCCCAGGGCGCTGGAGAAGACCCTTTGATGTGCTTTGAATGTCTAGGAAAGAGATTTTCAAAGATATTTAGATATTCTGTTGAAGGTTTTTTGTTGTACAGTTCTCTCCATTCAACCAATTTACATATGAAAACACATCGGAAAGTGCCCGATTCACTGACATAAACACCTAGAGCCTGTGAAATATTTATGGTTGTTTCAGACACCACAGCTGTCTTCTATAGATGTCAGTATATTACAGATGAATAACAGACCAGGGAGAAAACAAGCTTTCAAAACTGAGCGAGCGACTGATCTCCCTCCTTACAAAGCCTGGAGGCAGAAACCGAGATATAATGAGGAGTAAAGAAGGATGATGTTTTTGACTATGATCCAGTAAAAAAACTTACAAGGCTGACAAAGAATGATGAGGTCCATGATTGGCCGCTACACATTGGTCAGCCAATTTGCTTTCTACTGCGGCTGAAGTTTAAAGATCCCCTCCAGACATGTTTTGATAAATACTCTGCTTTGAATAATTTTCCGGTATGTTTTTTCCTCCAAAAAAAGTTTGGACACAGAGTTAAAAATGTTTGGAAGGGGAGATGGAGTTACAATCTGCAACTAAACTGCTAGATGACACTAAATCCTACACACTGGACCTTTAAGTGCAATTTTGAGTTACCATTACTAAGTATTTTACTTTTATGCTACTCTATATCTCTACTCCACTACATTTCGGAGGGAAATTGTACTTTTTACTGCAATACATTCATCTGACAGCCGTAGCTACAACTAACAGTACAAATTAAGATTTTACTCATAAAAAACACACAACAAGTTTAGAAAATATCATACAATGTTAAATATAAAGCCACTGGTTTCCAACTTTTTTGGCTTGTGACTTCTTACAGAAAAGTGTGTAGTTGGAGCCACTTGTCACATTTCAGATGTACGTGTTGTTAGCAGTTCCATCAAAGAGATATTTCCCCCCTAAACCTCTCAGATGGTTTCTTTTTAATGACTGTTTGAGGCTCAAAGAAGTAAAAGTATCCAATATTTCACAGAACTTGACTTTAAGTCAGTCTTTGCAGATAAGATGTTTGTGCTTTAACTTATCTAGGATTTTTAATGCTGGACTTTTACATGAATGTACTGTCACTTTTACTCAAGTAGAGGATCTAAATACTTCTTACACCACCAAACATAAACTGGTGACAGCTGGTAAAAGAGTATTTCGCCAAATGTCAAACTGCAAACTGTTCCTTCAGTATTAATTATTTGGCTTCCTACACTATGCAGGACACAATTTAACAAGACACTAAATTCTGTGGCAGCCCAGGGTAAAAACTGTCACGAAGAGTCATGAATGTAAATTGTACAAATGTACAATTAATAGAATCAAAAACATGTTATGGATATTATAAAGAATCTTTATTTATTAAAACAATAGCATTAAAATACTTTTATATAAGCAGAATCATTCCACGTATCTAATAAAGAAGGCGATGAACATGCAACCTAACAGGGACATGGTTGAGGCCGAGAGGACCACCACGATTACACTCCCTGCCAAGTTGACCAAAGCGCCGAGCCCCACGCCCACAATAATCTGAGCCAACTGCACCATGCAGGTGAGCGCGGCGCAGTCCACCCCGCTGCCACGCAGAGTTTCATTGTTTCCTCGCAGCTTCATTTGTTCCTGGAAGAACAGCAGGTTTAGAGAGGAGGAAAGGAGGACGAGATGGAGGAGGGGGAGAGAAAAGGAGAGCAATATTTGATGGCATCAGTGTCTGTATTACCAGAAATGTCCATGGCAGAAAACAATCAACAGTTGCAGCTCTAGAAAATATCAACACGCACCTCATATATGTTTTATTTTTAGTATCTGAGGCCCTTCATTTTATGTCAAATTTCAGCACCAGCTCAACCTATTCAACTTAATGAGATAATGATTGGGCATGCCAGTACACATCAAAATATTTTAAATATGTTTTTCTACTGACAATTGATGTTTTTTTTAACCACTGCCCAAGGGAAGAAATTGTATACTACAATTTCTATTGCTGCAGTGTTATGACCAGCTGCCAAATATAAAGTTCTGAATGAGAATAATGTTCAAAATTACAATCAATATGTGGTCAATCAGTAGTTTTCAGCAAAATCAAGATTT